TTGTTTTTCTCTCCAAATTGCTGTGGCACCTTCCACTGCCTTGTCTGCCTTTTTGTCCTTGACACACATGCACAGTAGAGTGGTAATTAGGGCTGCCACAAACGATTATTTGTCGACTATAAACCAATATTTCCACCACCTGCCAGAAGAGTGGAGCTAACGTAAACAAAAGGTTGGGAGTGGGGTTTCCATATGAACTTGTGCAAATCAGCAGGTTCTGAAGACAGCTGAAGAACAGGCAGAACTGAAAAGGTTAAATTTCATTATCTGAGATTATTTTTGTGATTAAATCAAATGAACATGTTTTGTATAGCCCACAGATGGATCCTAACTTGTTCTAGGGCCCCCATATTAGGTCTCCTATACATAAAAGAGACACTGTAATTAAGATCCAAAAAGACAGCACATACTTGTCCAAGTTGCGCTCTATTTGAAGCTTGAGGCGGCAGCAGTCTTTCAAGAAGTTATCTCCAGTTCGACAAAACGAGAAGGATGGGAAGATGAGGTTGGAGGATGCAGGAATATTAGCACCATCACACGAACAACCAGACAGACGTTCTGCAGCAAAGATATCCATCTCCTGCAGGTCGAGAGCCATGCAGTCCAACAGGCACACGTGCTTCTCTAAAGGATGGGAAACCCAGAATTTTAGAGTCAAACAATCTGCACAAGAAAATTAATAAAACCACATGGATCATTCAGTAAAACTAATTGTATTCATTTGTGTAAAAAAAATTTAAAAAGTAGCCCACTTAAGAAAGAAAACTTTTAAAGTTTTAAATTACATTGATATGTCTCATAGGCGGATCAGACGAAAGTCACCTGTAGAAAAGATGTGGCCAGTTGTATAGCCCTACAATAGCCTGTTGTATGTAATATTTTCTCTTTTTTGCTTTGATATGCCCCCTCTGCAGAATCACCGCCTTAATGTGGTGGAGGGGTTTGAGTACCCCTGTGATCTCAGGGACTATGTTATCAGGGGCATTAGCCCCTGGTAGGGTCTCAAGAGAGGGGTCAGATAAAGAGCAATTCAGAACCATTGATGAAATGGAAAATCAGTCACATCAGGAAACCTCGACCAGAATTCAAAAACTGCACAGAGGGTTGCCTCTCTGCAACTTCGTGCTGCAGGAGAGAAGGTTCTGACTGTTGTTTGTGGTTATGCACCAAACATCAGTTCAGATCACCCAGCCTTYCTGGAGTCTTTGGATGGTGTCCTGGAAGGAGTGCTGTCTGGGGACTCCCTTATTCTACTAGGTAACTTTAATGCCCATGTGGGCAATGACAGAGTTATCTGGTAGGGGTGATTGTGAGGAACTGCCTCCCTGATCTGAACCCCAAMCCTTAATTCACACTAGATGCAGTTCCGCTCCACCGCCCAGCACAGCCAGTGTAAATACTCTTTGATTATAATGGCTGCATATTTGCTGCGGAGGTCGGACTGCAGCGGAGYGGAGCCAAACCACATTTAGTGTAAATTAGAAGTAATGGTGTTCTGTCACTGGACTTCTGTGCTAAGCACAGGTAGAAACACCATGTTTGAGCATAGGGTGGTCCATAAGTGTACTTGGTACCAGGCCACCTTAGGCCAAAGTTTGATGATCGATTGTRTAATTGTGTCATCTGACCTGCAGCCCTATGTYTTGGACACTCRAGTGAAAAGAGAGGCAGAGMTGTCAACTAATCTCCACCTGGTGTTGTATTTGATCCGGTGGCAAGRGAAGCTGCCAGASAGACCTGGTAAACCCAAATATATAGTGAGGGTGAACTGGGAAAGTTTAGCCCCCTGTCCGTGCCATCTTCAACTCTCAGCTCTGGAAGAGTTTTTCACATGTCCTGGGGGAGATCATGGACATGGAATCTGAATGGGCCATGTTCAGGGCCTCCATTTGCAGATGCGACTTCCAGGTGCTGTGGTCTGAAGGTCATCGGTGCCTGTCACAGTGGCAACTAAAGGACCCGCTGGTTAACACCAGCAGAGATGGAGGCCGTCAGGCTGAAGGAGGCCTTCTGGACTTGGCTTTCCCAGAGGACTCCTGAAGCATCTGACAGATACAGGGTGGCAAAGAGAGTTGCAGCTTCGGTGGTTGCAGATGCAAAAACTCAGGCATGGGAGAAATTCAGGGAGGCCATGGAGAAGGACTTTTGATTTACCTCAAAGAGGTTCTGGCAAACTGCTCGGCAACTCACAATAGGAAAGCGTTCCCTGTCCCAGGCTGAACTTGGTTTGGGTGGGGAACTGATGACCTGGAGTGAGGATATTATTGGACAGTGGAACGAACACACCCTCCATGTCCACCTTTGAAGAGGCAGAGTCTGAAAACTCTGGACATGATGAGTCCATTACCATGGCAGAGGTCACAGAGGTAGTTAAAAAGCTCCTCGATGTCAGGGCGCCAGGGGTGGATGAGATTTTCCCCGAGATGCTGAAAGCTCTGGATGTTGTGGGGCTGTCATGGCTGACACGGCTCTTCCCATTTTAAAAAAGGAGGACCGGAGAGTGTGTTCTATTGCGGGATCAAACTTCTCTCCCTCCCCGGAAAATTTTACCCCAGGATGTTGGACGGGAGGCTCCGATCGATTGTCAAAYCTCAAATTCAAGAGGAGCAGTGTGGCTTCTGTCCTGGTCYTGGAACAGTGGGCCAGATCCTTRCGGAGTTGGTAAGAGGGTTGTGGGAGATTGCCTCTCCAATCTACATGTGTTTTGTAGACTTAAAGAAGGCTTATGATTGKGTTCCTTGAGGCATTCTGTTGGGAGTTCTGCAGGAGTATCCARGGTTGCTATTAAGGTCAAGCCAGTCCCTGTRGAATCAAAGCAGGAGCTGTGTTSGCACTCTTGGCAAAAAGWCAAACTTGATCTCAGTGCAGGTCGGACTCTGTCAGGGCWTTCCCTTGTCTCCAATCCTGTTTGTAGTGTTTATGGACAGGATCTCAAGGGGTAGTCGTGGAGAGGAGGGGGTCTGGTTTGGGAACCACAGGGTCTCATCTCTGCTTTTTGCAGATGATGTGGTTCTGTTGGCATCTTTGAGCCAAGTCCTTCAGCACGCAATGGGGCAGTTCGCAGCCGAGTGTGATGCGGCTGGGAACAGAGTCAGTTCCTCCAAGTCTGAGGCCATGATTACCAACCGGAAAAGGATGGCAAGCCCATTCCGGGTCAGAGGAGCGTCTTTGCCTCAAGTGGAAGAGCTTACGTATCTGGGTGTCTTGTTCACAAGTGATGGTAGGATGGAGCAGGAGATGGATCGATGAATTGGATCCTTGTGCTCAGTAACGAGGGCATTGCCTTGGTCARTTGTGGTGAAAAAAGAGCCGAGCTGAAAGGCAAAGCTCTCAATTTACTGGTCTGTCTACATTCCAACCCTCCCATATGATCAAGAGGCGTGGATCATGACCGAAAGAACCAGATCCTAGATACAAGAGGCCTTAGAGACAGGGTGAGGAGCTCCGTCATCCGGGGGGAGCTCAGAGTAGAGCTGCTACTCCTCAACATAAAAAGGAGTCAGTTGAGGTGGTCCAGGCATCTGATTAGGATACCCCCCTGGGCGCCTCCCTTTAGAGGTGTTCAAGGCTTGTCCCACAGGTAGGAGGCCTCAGGGAAGACTCAGAACTGGCTGGAGGAGTTATGTATCCTCTCTGGTCTAGTAATGCCTTGGGGTCCCCCGTGAYGAGCTGTGGAGAATGATGTCATGGTTTTTCTCCTKGAACTATTGCCTTCGCAACCYGACTACAGATAAGTGGAAGAACAGGGAGATGTTTTGCTATGCATTTTAATTCATAAGATCACAAGTAACATTCTAATGTAGATTGAATTCCATTACACAAGATATCATTTCACAGCTTGCATCCGATTTCTATCAAAACTACACTTGTTCTCCATCAAACTATGCTGACCTGAGGAGTGGGAATCCTTCTCATCAGGGGTTCCGACTGTGCCAGTGCCCTGTGGTCTGCCATATGTTCCTTCTGTAGAAGAGTCTGTGGGCTTATCCTGATCATTTGTCCTCCATGCTGCATTCCTGACATACTCCTTTTGGAACATAAGGACATAGGCTTATTTGTGTCTGTGTGTCATTCATACAGTTTCATCATGTTTGAGGTTGATGTTGCTTACCTCTCATTATACAAAAAAACGTATTTTTAAAAACAACATCCACAAAAAAATTGGTTTTATAAATTTCTTAATTTATATAATAGTTATCTTAGGATACAGATTTTAAAACTGTTAATTTTAAAACTTGTCTAGGTCTTTATACGTTTTATGGCAAAATGTCAAACCTTGTGGTCAAGCCACATCATGCCATGTATCAAAAGCTTAGCTTTTTTCCTAATCAGGGTYAGGGTKGGGGCTGGAGCCTGTCTCAGCYAYATTTGAGTGAAGGCAGGGGACACCTGGTCTCTAGTCCATCAGAGACACCTGGACAGGTCTCCAGTCTATCAGGGTCACAGACAAAGAGACAAACAACCATCCACACTCTCAGGCACATCTAGAGTCACACAGAAGAGCTCCAAAAGAGATTCAAATTAGGGATGGGCAATATGGACTAAAGAATTTATCACAATAATTTTTAGGTTTTATTACAGTAAAGATAGGTGATGATAAAAACTATATATATCAGCCTAATCTTTTGTATCTCGAGTCCATCACTACATTTTGTCTTGAGAGCCCTAAAATAATACTAGAAGCCACTAAACTACATTAATTAAGTTATTACTTGAACTTAATTAATGTAGTTTGTGTTGCAAAACTGACACCCATCATGTTAATAAGTGATTACAACTCAGACCTCAAAGTTCTCTGTGTGACTCTAGCATGACTGGAAGGGTGGACAGTTGTTTGTCTCTGTCCCTGTGATGGACTGGAGACCTGTCCAGGTGTCCCTGTGATGGACTGGAGACCTGTCCAGGTGTCCCCTGCTTTCACCCAAAAGGCTGCTGAGACAGGCTCCAGCTCCCACTCTGCTGCACAGAGTTCTAATCACTTATTATCAATGATAATTTACTATGATAAATTATTATTGATGATAATCACGAGTTGTTAAAATTAAAATTTAATCAGGCAGTGAAATATTCACATATGTAAATTTATTACTATTATCGAAGGTGAGTCGAGCTTACAAGCAGCCATTTTTCGATTAAACACAAATTATTCAACATGCCCAACCCAGCTACCATCATTCCAGTGTCAAACAACCAATAACTAGTCTCAGTGATCTACAGACAAGTGGCACTGATGTCTGTGGTGGTGACATGCTATAAAAGGCTTGTTCTTCAACATCTCAGAGCCTCCCTCCATAGAAACCTCCACCATCACCAGTTTACCTACATGACAAACCGGTCCACAGAGGACGCCCTCGCCACTGCTCTCCACTCAGCCCTTAACTATCTGGAGCAACTGGGGACCTACGTCAGGATGTTTGTGGGGCATATGTGGAAAGAGTGGCTTCCTTCAAGTTCACACACACTTTCATAGAACATGCGTTTTGATAAATCCCAACATATGAATGGAAACTGGCAAATTCAGCCATTTTCTGCATTGATACATGAACCCCTGCTCATAACAAGAAACAAGTTGTATTTTTTCAGCAAGGTTGAGGAATAGTGCACAACATTCACAAACCTGAGTAATGCTAATTGCAGCAGAAAGGTTGGAGAGCACTGCATATGTGTTTGAACAGCAGTGAAACTGACCAGAGAAAAGAAAAAGGTGTCATGATGATTTTCTCTACCTTATCTAGGAGGGAGAATGTTCCGTGAGCCCCAGCTGGAAGGAAGCGGTTCTGCACCCTCAGCTTACCCAGATTGGCCACAATCACATGTGGTGATTGTGAACTCTCAGGTATGACAATGACTGGGGCCCCAGCTTCAATATCAAGCAGAATCCTGGATGCCCGTTGTGGGTGATCATGGACCTGTAGGTGAGGACAGGATAATAACTAAATAATTAAGAACATAATTTATTTTCACTTTGTGACAAAGACTCAAAGACTTCTTAACATGATAGCAGAAGCTGCAAAATGATGGAGGAAAGTTCCTTTCTCTACATCAGGGGTCTCCAACCAGTAGCTCATGAGCTCATTTGAAGTAGMTCTTCAGTGCTTGTGAAAAATTAGGAGAAGCAATATTTAATTTGTCACTGGCCAAACAAACTTTCATTTAATTCCAACCAATCTATAGATGTCCCTCCCCTTGGTTGTCAATCAATCAGTTTAGGGCTCAGTATAGTTGTTCAGCGTTGGTTTTCGCACATACCTTTCATAACTCCGAGACACACTGTGCAGAGCACCTGGGAAACCTCTCCTGCTGTGGTAAATGTCACTGCACGAGGTTATTCTACTGGAGTCTACATGTTTTTTGAGCAAAACAAGCTTATTTCAGTGATTTAAGTTTAAAATTAAATGTTGCAAAAAGTAGCTCTTGGACAATTTCATTTTGCAAAAGCAGCTCTTAAGGGGAAAAAAAGGTTGGAGACCCCTGTTCTACATGTTTTGAGCAATGTGAGCAAACCCTGAAGCCGGGTACACACCAAAGGCGTTTTGAGCAGCCGAAGCAGCCAGTTTTCATGCAAAGTCTATGGTAGATGCACATCTAGGAGCAGCGCAGCGTGTTGCGGCGCGTTTTTGCAGTTTAGAAGAGCGCACAAGGTAGCGGTAGGATGCGGCAGAGCATTTTCTGTGCATGTGGTACGTCCTAAGCAGTGGCTGGTGGAGTTCAACAAATTGAACTTTGGCTGCTCGAAGCGCAGCAGCAACCAGTCGAGACATAATTTTTTTTTCACGTGACGGTTTCATGAACCTGACACAGACGGACAGGAGCCTTTTTAAGAAATCGACAGTCTGCAGTTGGTGTTCTGGCTGGAGATATCAGCACCGATGTGATGAGACAGCAGCTCACTGAGCTC